AGTACTGGTAGTAGGTTGTTCTTCTATCAAATTAAGTACTGCTGCCTCAAGCTGTGGTGTTCTTACTTCTCGATGGCGACCACAATCCTGCGTTCTTTTGTTGAATGAACCATATTCACGTAATCGTTGATGAAGTCAGACAAATATTCTATGTGAAGGATGCTGCCGTTGAGGATACATTTCAGCATATCTTGTAGAAGCTTCTAACCCATTCCCCTGCGACAGACCGTAAACGTAATGCATATCAGCCATTTCCTCATTTGTGTATGCCATTTTAATAACAAGTGAATTATTAAAGTAACAAATTAAGAACAGAACAATACACAATTAGTATTACTTCAATTTCAAAAATTTACAAACTGACAGCTTGATTCCAATTTAATTGTCAGTATCGCTAATAGCGGCCTACTAGATAAATTAGTTTCGTATTTTCGTTTTATGGCGATATGTATCTTGTTCGTAAAATAATTTTTTGCTGCGAACTGGTTTATTTTGGGCAAAAAATTCAAGAGACATTTTTTTTTAGAATGAAACAGGCTATCGGAAATAAATTTTTAAATGGTAAACAAATAATAAGACAAAAAGTTACGTTGGAAATAAATTTTAGGGGTTGCGTTTTCCACCCCTTACAACCATGGGGTAAACCAAATAAATTACTGGCTAAGTGTCCTTTTGGTAGTAGAAAATGTCAGGTTAATTTCAATATTGTAACTTGTTTAGTGCTTGTGAAAAAAATTGTTAAACAAATTTTATGTACCCCCTTTAAGGGGCTTTATCTTAACAAGGGATGCTCCAATGAAGTTTCTTTATATGAAAGATCCTATCTTTTTTCGATGAGGAATCACCCCCTTAAATGTTTTACACTTATTTAGTTACACCCTGTATAGATATGACGAAAAGATCCATAATTATAGGAAAGGAACAAAAAAGGGTCTAAGTCTCAATCAGTCGGGAAAATCAGGCACCTCCCAATATGCGTTGAAGAACAAACAACAAATTACCACACTTGTGAGAATGATAGTCTTATAACTTGGTGAGACGGGAATAATCAAACAATGTCCAAATAACATAAATCGAGAAGAAGGCTTTGGGATGAATAGAACCTGGCTACAGTCCATACGATATTTGTTGAGATAGAATTCCAAGAAGACCTCTGCGTCGCTTTCATAGAATTAACCGCAGTCGACATTGGCGGAAAATTTCAAGCCACTCTCCTGACGTGGTAAATTGTTACAGTAGTTGCGATAACAGAACTTTATTGGCTTATTCTTTTCTTGGAATTCTGTCTCAACACATATTGTACAGACTATACCTCTTATAAAGAACAAGCAACGCGTTATGGAAGAATGCTTGATACTGCCGAAAGGATACGCAACGGCACCAGTGATACCATAAAGGTGAGATCACATCTACCATCCTACTACGCAGGCGCCGATGAGTCACTAGTAGAGGTGTCGGTGGCAACTCCCTCTGCGTTACTCCAAAGGACTAGAGGCGTGTGCGACGATACTGACATCATCGGCGTCACAAGCGGGACATTTCACCCAACTTCCATTACTATAATGCGCAGGCCTAGATACCGACGATATAAGACCGGTGGCGAAGTTGCAAGCGTCCTCCATACAGCAATGAAGTGAGTAAAGAGCGATAATCCGGCTCTACCCCGCTCCATCCGACGTCATAAATTCTGCTAAGGATATTGGCGCAAGCGTCCTCAGAGAACAACGGCGAATCATTTGGAAGAACAAGAATCGAAATGAAGCTAAGCTAAGGATATGCAATGAAAATCTGTAACTGGCATATGAATGGCATAAGAACCCGAAAAATCATCCCACCTATATATTTCTTATATCATGTTTCAAGCTTCTTAAGAAGATAGCTAATAATTTTTATTTTGACTTGCTGTTTGAATACTTATCATAGTTGTGAAGTATCAATTAATTATAATTATAATATGAAAGACTACACGTGATATCAAGCATGACTTCATTGATACTGATATTACTACTAGAGGTTATACTCGAAATCAATCAATTTTGCCAGTTTGATAAGAAATTGATGACTTAATACACATTAAGGAAATAATATGGTCTTACTAATGTAGATTTAAATGTGAGGAGCCCATAGTGATGATACTTAAAGACTATGCCACTAAGATCCCTAGAATATGCCAAAAATAAATAGATATATGGGACATAACGGTACTTACTAATTTATACAGGGTGGTCAAATGACAACGAAACAGAGCCATTTTCAGGAACTGCGTCAAGATTGTAGAAAAACGCTCAGACCCGTCGATTTTAGATTAAAGGGGGACATTATTTGCTGTTATTTTTTACTCCGCCACTTTCATCCCCAAGCAAGGGTATGCATCACCCCAAAATATTTAAATGGCATTGGGGGCTGAGTAATATTTCTTTTGAAAGCTCTTACAATTCTCTTTACAACATACTTTAAATTCCGCCCAATACTTATTAAGAATTTTGATTTTAAAGTTGAAACTTATTAAACAATTAGTAAAGGTAAAAATGTCGGTCATTCGAGTATTTAAGTACGCCAATGGTATAAATTTAGTATTTCTTGCGTTACATTGGTTTTTGGCGATTTGTTATCACTTTCGTAAAAAAAAACAATTGTAAAAAACAGAAATGAATGCTATACACACACAATGAACGTAAAATTAGTGGATTCCAAATTATTTTCTAGTATTATTTGGAAGCGTTGGTTGGTAGTTTATTTAATTGTGTTTTTGAAAATTAAACACTATGGTTTATTCCATTGCGGAAAGGGTAGATATCATTTCGCTTTACTTTATGAACAATAAATGTGCGAATAGAACAGCTCAGCTATTTAATGAACAACATCAAGATCGACATGTCAGGAGGAAGTATGTTCTAGAGTTAGTAAAAAAATTTCAAGAGACAGGGAACGTAGCCAATAAAAAACGAGAAATTGAAAAACCTATAGTTAATGAAGCTAGTGAAGTTGCAGTTTTGGGACAAGTTCATCTTGATCCTACATTAAGTACGAGGCAGCTGGCATCTGTGTCTGGGATCAATCGAACTAGCATACAAACCATTTTGAAGAAGAATAAATTCCATCCATACAAAATACATTTAGTCCAGGAACTTCATGAGGATGATTATGACCGCCGTTTGCAATTTTGCGAAATAATGAGTGAGCGAGCAGGGAACGATCCACAGTTCCTTTTTAACATCTGTTTTTCTGATGAATGCAGTTTTTTCTTGAACGGGACGGTAAATCGTCACAATTGCCGCTATTGGTCCGATTCAAACCCAAGAGTTTTTCACGAGGTGCATACACAGCAACCGGAAAAATTAAATGTATGGGCTGGAATTTTCGGTGACCGGCTGGTGGGTCCTTTTTTTCTACCTGGTAATTTGACTGGCCAAATGTATTTGCAATTACTGGAAGACGCTATTGACCCTGCCTTGACTGATATTATTGAAAATGTTCCAGAGTTTGATGAAGATCATTTGATTTTTCAACAGGACGGTATCCCTCCGCATTATGCGTTAATTGTCCGTCAGTATTTGGACCAAAGTTTCCTACGGAATTGGATTGGGGGAAGAGGCAGCATTGAGTGGCCTCCACGGTCACCAGATTTATAGCCCCTTGATTTCTTTTTGTGGGGATACCTAAAAAGTAAAATCTATAAAACACAGCCAGCGTCGCTGGAAGATTTGCGTCAAAGAATCGTCGACGAATGCCGTCGAATCACTGCGGAAATGCTTCGGAATGTGCGCGAATGTTTCGAACAAAATCTTTATTCTTGCATGGAAGCGGGCGGTGATCAGTTTGAACATTTAATCAACTAAGTAGTAAGTAACCAACTAAACATAATTTAAATTTTAAAATATAAATTCTTTTCAAAGTACCTATTGGGCGGAATTATAAAATTTAAAATCTGTTGTAGAGAGAATTGTAAGAGCTTTCAAAAGAAATATTGCTCAACCCCCAATGCCATTTAAATATTTTGGGGTGATGCTTACCCTTGCTTGGGGGTGAAAGTGGCGGAGTCAAAAATACCAGCAAAGAATGTCCCCATTTAATCTAAAATCGACAGGTCAGAGCGTTTTTCTACAATCTTGACGCAGTTCCTGAAAATGGCTCTGTTTCGTTTTCATTTTGCCACCCTGTATAGGTATTGTATTTTGTTCTATAAATTTGGTCCATAATACGTCTGTATCTATATACAGGGTGCATTCCAAATCCGTGGTATAACTTCAGAAGATTGTTTCCTGGATTATTTTAGATTAAAATGTCAATCGTTTTCGAAATATAGCGTATTTTAAGTTAAAAAATTTCAAAAAATGTTAACTTGCCCGAGGAGTAGCTAAAGGGATATAGTGCCAAAAAAAAAAAATTTAATTTCTTCGGCAATGATTCTTCTTTACATTGCATTTAAAATTGTAATAAATTAAAATGTATTTTAATAAAAGATTCGTGTAACTTTTTTTGTGAAACGATTAATTTCAGATATTTTAAATTTAATTAGTTTTGAGATATACACATATTTTAAACTAAAATAGGAAATAGAAAATGAATGCCTTAAATAAATTAATTAAATAAATGCACCTCGATTTAGAGACATACAAATTCTGGACTTCTTCCTGGGACTGGGCCACTGGCTGGCGGATTACTTGATCTATTCATTAAATTTTCGTTTTTAATTAATTCATTAGCCCAAGTTTCATCAATCTAAGTCAATCATATTTTGGTGTCAAATCACTCAAAAAAACCTCTCCAAGTTGTGACATAGATTTAGAGCACACCTTTTAATTTTAGCAAGTAATATTTCAAGGTAAAAATTTATAAAACCTATCGCATAAAATTAATATTTAATTCAGAATTTATAGAACGTGGAAATATCCATTTTTTTTAACCATATATACTACTCCTGGATGTCTAAATTTAGCTGCCAACAGTAGATACAAATATAAATCTTTATCCATAACTAATTTTATTCCTAGACTTACCACCACAGCTACTGCATATTTGAGACCTCGTTTAGGGGGTGAATGCTGTGTCACGTAATTTTTATAACCAATTCCTGTGGAGTGTTTAGCTTTTTTGAATTTAATGTATATGTTTTGGTACCTAACGACACAGTATCTGGTGCATATTCTTGTTGAAAATGAGAACATACTTAACTGGTCTTAATATAACACTGATTAATTTATGTAGATGATGCGGAGACGTATATATATATTCTAGGGTATAAAGGTCGCAATAATATTTTTTTTATTTCCTCGATTGATAACTTTCTCCCAATAAAAATATTGTTATCATGGTAATATGCGCGGTATAGGCTTAACAACATTGAAGCTCAACAGAGCGGATATATTACATTTTTAAATTCCAAAATTTGTTTTAGTAATATTTGTATCTAAATTAGAACTTTTTTATAAGGAAGCAAAAATGGGCATTTAAAATAGATAATTAATTGTTTTCTTGAAAACAACTAAACATATTTTAAATGTTTTAAGCAGTTTATGATTATTTTTTAAAATATTTACTATTATTATTTTCTCTTAGGAAAAAAAGCGGAATAATTAAAGTTATAAATATTTATAAAACTTTTGCGTCATTCTAATCAGTGATAGACAGACGAATCTACTGTAAATATTTATATTTAAAATAGTATGATCTCTTTATGTTTATAAAAAATAATGTAATATTTGCATTACTAATTAACTAATTACTATAAAATAATAATATTATTTATCTCAGACATATTGGCAGAGCGTTTGAAGTACTAAATACTATCCAAAAAGTTTGTCTCATATGGGGAAAAACATTATGTATAAATTTAATAAATTCCTTCGATTGCCAGTTGCCTGTGCATGTCGTCAAATCAAAATAGTGCCCGTTGAATTTCATAAAACGTGTGTTATATACGAGGGGCAGACGAAAACTGCAAATCGGCCCAAGAGTAAAGTACCCTTATTTTCAACCCTAGGGGAAAATGTTATAAAGAAAAGTTATTTCACGTTTTTTAAGTACGGTTCTACAAGAAAAACATTATAATTCCTGAATACAAGTTGAATCAGGAAGTAAAGGCTGTTATAAAAAATGGTGTAGAAAATAATAGCAAATTTGTTGCAAACTTTTTTTTATGTTCAAGAATAATATAAAAAGTAAATAAAATGGTAAACCTCGTATACACCATTTCTTAAATTAACAGTTACAGTTCATTCGTTCAAAAAATATTAACTCTGGTTTCTATAAGATGGAAACAATTTTTATTTTACAAAGCAATGCAAAAAAATAAATTAGAAATACAAAACCAAAACTGATATAATTAACAATCAACTTTTTGACTACGGAAAACCCTATTTCTATGTGAACCATTGTAGACGATACTTCTTGAATAACATTAAAGTAACATTAACATTTAAATTAGGTATTCTTGAACATTAAAAAGTTTGCACCACATTTGTTGTTATTTTCTATACCATTTTTTATAACGGCCTTATTAGTTTCTGATTCAACTTGTTTTCAGGAATGTTTTTTTGTAGAAGCGTACTAGAAAAACGTGACTTTAGTGATGGATGTTTTCGCTCTAATTATGGTACGAGGGAAAGTTGCAGAAATAACAACATAACATAATTTCAACATAATGAACTTTATATTCGTGCTTATCTTTTAGGGTTGAAAATGAGGGTACTTTGCTCTTGGGCCGATTTGCAGTTTTCATCTATATATACAGGGTGTTTCAGAAAGACCTCCCGTAAATTCAGGGGGTGATAGTACGACAAAAAATAAGATTTTTTTTGTTTTATGAACTAAATGTCTATCTCCTCTTGTTTTCGAGATACAAAGCGACAAAATAAAATTTTTTAAATAGAATTTTTACAAAATTTTCCAAACGGTGCGAAGTATTTTTATGAAATTTGGTATTCCGGGGTTTTTAAGGACGCCAAATACGCTGGTCTAATTATTTTTTGTATATTTTACAGAAGGTCCTAGTTACGCTACATTTCTATTATATTTTAGGTTCTAATTTTCTTAAGGTTAGTTTTTTGCCATTTAGGCTCCAATTTCTAATGTACAATTTTATTTTCTAAAAATAATGTACTCTTGTTAGAACTTCCTAATGTGGACGGTTTTCGAGAAAAAAGGCTTAGTGATTGTTAGTGACTGTAGTTAGTAATGACTAATTACAGTCACTAAAATTTTGATATAAAGTTAATTAGAGTTTAAAATATTATTGAGAATGTATGCGTTTTGTTTATGAGACATCCAGCAATAAGTTTTGACATAAGCCTACTTTGAGAAAAGTCACTTATTTTCTACACCGTAATATTGTAAGAGTTCAGTTAAAAGCCTTTTTTCTCGAAAACCGTCCACATTAAGAAGTTCTAACAAGAGTACATTATATAAGAGTAGAAATGTTTACGTGAGGTTCCGTGAAGTTTTCCCCAGTTTCACGCAAAACTATATATCGTTGTTCCAGAAAATTGCACATTTCAAAAATCGTCACTAACACTTAAACACGTTGCAATCAAATAATAATATAACGAAACCTACATGACATATCAACAATCCAAAAACACGGAGGAAGTTATGCGCAACGCAATGTTGCCGACGATACCTCAATTCGCGCGTAATTCAAAAAGGATATTTTCTGAACAGGCCTCGTAAATTATTGGAGTTATAAACAACAAAGAAATATACATGTGAGATAAATAAATATACTGCAATTGCAATTATTATTAGATTGCTGAGATATTATTATTCTCTTTAATACTTCGGGTAATATTTCATATAACAAATGTAAAAAATTAGTTATGAATGAAGGGGTAATATATTACGGATTTGCTTACCTCAAACAGAAATAATGTAATTAATATAAATACAAACGTTATCGCGAATCGTGGTGCGAAAATCATCAAAATATAACTTTCAAAGTTTCTCACTGACTAAAAATAAAACCAGTGCTGGCCAAAATGCGTGGGTGTTAGTACTTTAAATAAAAAACAAATTGGTGTAAATGATATCGAAAACATAATGAATGTGTATATATTTTTTAAAGATCACATAACCATACAATTAGTCAAGGTGAGTGTTATTCTAATAAATTAGGTAGTGACGGATGTAATCTTAACATGTCACTAGGTTTCCTAGGCTATAATTAAATTTGGCAGACTTCGGACGAATCAAAGAATTTAAAAATAATACTTTCTAAGAATAAAAAGGATCCAACATACATGTTGCGATATGTGTATCAGCAAAATATAGTTAATATAAAACTGTGGAAATTATCAAATGAATAAATGGAAAAATTAAAATTAATGAAAATTGACCCAAATTATAAATACTTATTAAAAGATATAATTTTTGGCGAATGTTTTTGTCTCAAATATAACAAGGAGACAATTTTAGATAGAAATAAGAAATTATAGTAATTATCTAAAACTGGTTAATTTCGAGTTATCTAACTGTTGTAACGAGATAACGATATGTCTAAAAATGAATCCTTTCCATAATACACAATAAAGACTAATTTGTTCGTTTTTTTTTAGAATGATGTCTCAAACTTTGAACGATTAAATTGCCTATTAGAGGGCATCATTTAATATAAACTAAAATTCATCATCTCGCCAGGGGCGTACGTGTACTACAATTTTTTAAAACCTAATATATATGCCCTTCATGTTTTTAATTTTGTGAATATTTTTTATTATAACGTATGGCTAGAAAATAGAACAGAAAATTCTTTGAAAATGTTGTTGTACATAAAATGTCATTTGTTTATTATGTCTTTGTTTATATGTAGTATCGTACTGATTTTACCTCAATAAAAATTCATAGAACTCGTTATAATTTTAAAATCTTTTCTTTAAAAAAAAAAATAGCATTTTTCTAGCTATAAGTTAGCTATAAATGAAAAAATATTAAGTGATAACTTATGTCAGGTAATAAACCATTACTACAAAAATATTCAAAAGATAAAAAATAAAAAATATCGGGAGCGTACATTTTGTGTTTTTTTTTTTAATAAATAGTGTGAAGAGATTAAATTTTAGTTTACACTAAAACACTCTCTAGTATTCAGTATAATCGCTTAGAGTTTGAGAAAAAGAAAGAATTACTATTATTAAGATATTTAAAAATATTACACTTAAATATTTTAAACTACTTAGGAAACCAACTTATTGATACCAAATAACAAGCTATGCTAAAGGAATAATGCCAGACAAGTCAGTAAAACAAAGAATTTATTATCTAAAGAGCTACTAACGATAAAACATATACTTGACATAATAAAATTATTATTAACGAGCATGGAAAAACCTTGTACACATTACGTTACACATTGTTGGAAATATTGTTTTATTGAAATATAAGAATAAAACCTTTAAAAAATTAGTTCCAATTCTTATTTCTAATGGCAATACCATAGCTTGATTTTAAGTGAATCAACATACACAAGGTGCTGTTATTAAGAAGTTATTATAAACATAGTAGCTAATAATATTTATCCTAGTTAAGGAAGATATAGTGTTAATGATAATTGTTTAATATAATTTCATATTCCGAGAATCTAAGATCCCGTCAAATTAAAAATGCATTTTATCAAATTTTTGTATTGATAATTTGTCGGTTTTATGTCAGAGGAATTCACAATTAAAGTTTACATCCATACCAAACTAAAAAAAAAATCGAATCGGTCTATAATACTTTAACGTTCTCTGAAACGGTAATTGTGTCGTAAAATCAAAATCAGTTGCCAGTAAATTTGGCACTTAGGTAAATTTTAATTTTAAATAGGCAGTTTATAATAAAATCTTTTTCGAAATCGCAACTAAAAGAGAAAAAATAAAGTAGTTCGATTGCCATTAACAGTATTAACACCTATGGTTAATACAATTTAGGGAATCTTATACATATTAAATGTTGGCAACAGTATACCAACATACTACTGAAATTTGAGGATATAATCTGCTTCTATATTTCTAACAATATTTATAACAACAAAGATAAATGAATGTTTATGTAATGAGAAATAAAAGGCTTTCTCTTGTCTTAACTCTATGGATACACTGTGTAATTAATAGTTTAATAATTAATGTTGAGATTTATATTAATTCTAGTTTTATAGGTGACCATTTGAAAACGCAATGTTTAAAATGCAGAGACTGATTAATTAATTTATAGTGGCTTAATTTCTTGTTGGTTTTTGTAAAAGTGTTAGTAAGTGATGATAAGACAATTGGTTTGAAGGTATGGGACACTATTTAATAATTTCAATATATCAGGTATTTATTTTTTCATGAGTACTATTTATATAAATTATTTTCTACTTTTGATAATTAATTATTCTTATCTCCGCTTGTTTTGGAGTTATTCTTTAGCATAACTAGATATTTGGTATCATTTTGCAATTAATCTGAATTTGCTCAATAAGTTTTTAGTGTACAATAGCTAATAATAAAATGTGTCTAATTAAAAAAAGGAAAATGCAGAAATGTATTATAATTACCTATCTTAATATAATAGATTTAAATTTTCATTCCTGCTTAGCATATCCATATACTTCGTTGGATTGAAGATGCTAAACTTAGAAATATATTGATTCATGGGTGAGCAAAATTTAACCTCCAAACTTTAGTTTTTTTTGTAATGTACCAATATTAGCATTGATTATCACGTTTTTACCGACATATAGATATACTTAATTTTTAAAGATGACTAATCTACTAATATTACAAAAATTGACTTACTTTTGTATCCATTGCTCTATGTTAATATTCAATACTACCACCACATTTACTCATCCAATCCACCGCGATCGATATTCGAGCACAGAGCCGTAGTGGTGGAATTATGTAAGTACAATAGCAATCTATCTCCACCAGCAAATATGTTAAAATTATATAAACAAAGTGTGTTTTTTTAGATTCATGTCATAGTTTTCGGAAGTTACTCTTGGGATCAGTTTAGTGTAAAACAATAACTTTAAACAATACAAGGGTCTAAAATCATACATTTTTGAGAGTGAGAAATTTTAAGGGAATATTATTTTGATTAAACTATAGACCAATGATGTATTTAAATTAACTAAACTCACTTAATTGGTATACGAATACGTTTTTAGGCCGCTGAATATTTCGGAAATTGTATTGATGTATTTAGTTATTGGTTATTTTTCATTGTTTCGCATAAGCAGTTCTTTTGGGATTAGACAGTTATTATTGAAAAATCGAGGATAATTATAAGATTTCTTGATTCAAAGAAAAAATATATAGAAAATCTTTTATAAGTTAATTTCTTATTAGAAAGTGAACATTCTGCTCGAATTTAGAAAACCATACACGGGTACTAATCCAAATATATAACATCAAATTTAAATTTATAACTGTTTTGGAGTTGCTGAAATACATGTATTTTATCCCGGCGAGTCTTACAAAGAATTATGTTACATTTTTTACGAGTTTGTAGGTTTCTTATGGAGCCGGACTGTATTCGAAAGTCAGTTTGTAATACATTGTCGTAGTGATTGCTGTGCTGTTTTTCGAGAGTATATTTAGTAGCCGTATTTCCAAATTTTCTTTTGATAATGGCGCATTTATGATATGATATGCTCAAAATTTATGGCGAAGCAAACGAAAATGCCCACAGAGCTTATTAAGTGTACCGTGCAAGATATACTGAACGATGTGGCCCCGCATCGCGAACATTTGTTGCTGTAGCGCAAATAGTTTTGGACACCGATGAAGTACAACCGCGTCGAGGTCGTGACGGTGGCCCAGGGCTACCACCAATTGTAAGAATCTTAAATGTCGAGGAGATGATTTTAGATCTCGTCGAAAAAGATCCGCATCGTAGCACCAGAAATATCGCACAGCAAGTAAATATTTCGCATCCTATTGTGTGGTGGACATTACCATAAGATCAGTTGTACCCATTTCATATTCAACGTGTTCAAGCGCTTACTCCTGAGGATTTTCCACTGAAATCCTCAATTTACAGCGCAAATACTTGTTACAGATAAAGCATGTTTCAGTCGAAATGGTGTACGTAAGGTCCACAACACTCACCACTGGACTATCGAAAATCCACACGAAATACGACGCGGTGCTTTTCAGCAACAGTTTTCAGTGAACATGTAGACCGGTATCGTTAATAACACTTTAATAGGACCTTTTGAATTGCCTAAACGCTTCATATCTAGATTTTTTGCAAAATCGCTTGCCGGAGTTATTGGAAGACGTGCCATTAAATGTTCGGCAATCCGGGCCTCACCCTTTCAGACTTCTTTTTGTGGGAATACGAGTATGTGAAAAGTGTTATGTATTCCACGGAAGTTCGTGACATCGACCAACTGCGACATTGTATTGCCGAAGCTTGTAATAAGATTCGAGAGGAGGTGGCAATGTTGCAACGCGTGCGAGCGAATTGGATACGTCGCGCTGAAGCTTGTGCGCAAGCAAATGGTGGGTGCATCGAACATCTTCTATGGAAATCAGCAGTTCTCAAAAAGTGGCCCCTTGCAATGTTGTATCCGTGTATTTATTATTTTGAGATAACGGACATATGGCAAAAATATTTGACATAAGTTCATTAACATCCTGTATTTAATCTCTTGATTTTGCTAACAGAATAAAAATTTAATCAATCTAATTTTATAAAAAAAATTGATCCCAATCATTTGAGTTATTGGTACAAATGAGAAAATGGTGGACATAAAAATTTATTATTTGCTATTCCAAATTATCTTGATGTTTTCTTTTGTAAACTTTTACAATTACATATAGGGTTTCATTGGATATATAATATATCATTGGTATAAATAATTTATAGTCAGCAATTCGTCAATATTTCGCCGTTCGCTAAATAAGTTTTGCGATGTAAAGTCGGTCGCGAACAAAGTTATTGCAATTTTTAGCGAAGCTCCGAAGAAATCTCGGATATGATTCATAGTATCTTCACAGATTCTCCAAAGTACCAATAATCTGAATTTTTAGAATCGTAGCAAAAACAGATTTTGATTTAGACATGTTAGATAATGCCTATAGAGGTATTTTAAATTTAGATATACACACACATACCTCGCAGGTAACTGGATAATACTTATTTTTACAATTAAAGCTTTATACCTCCTTTTTAGGGATTTTTTTTCTTTATCACTAAAATTCTGATATTTGGGTCCATTAAGTTTCCTGTATTTGCCTTGTGCTCCAAAACAACTGATTTTGCTGCCTCGTTATTCGTTAAGTGACATTTATGTCTCTTTAACCTCGTGTTAATGGATTTTGCTGATTTTCTAACACGGTAACAGAAATTCAGAAAAATTTACATAATTCAATCGTGAAGGTTTAAAGTTACCTCAAATTTGAAAATGAAGCAAACATGGAAGAATAAAACATCGCAGGTCAGTTACTTAAGCCTGAAACACCATGGATTTGTGTATCTAACAAATATGAAAATCGGTCAGAGGACTTAAGAGAACGTCTCTCGAAATGTCAACGGAAGATCTCACAACCAGTCGGGAAATTGTTCAGCTACCTACTAAGTAATTTCTTTAAAAAGATAAAACTATGTACAGAGATGTTCACCAATATTCTACCTCTTATCTTTTTGCTTGTCTATCGCGAAAAGGACGATAAGACAAAAGTTTTACAAAATTTCCTTGTGGATTTATTTATAAAAAACAATTGAACCACTTAAAAACTAAACTTGTGTTTTGTTTTCAAGCATAACAACATATATTTATGGGTATTTGTAACCTCTCTTTCCTGATTTTATTTGTTGACCTTGAATCAGATCGTATTTATGCAATATTCATTTATCGATTTTTTATTTATTATTTTGAAATCATAAGAAAGTATTTCCTAAAACTTCGGTTTTTACCTTTTTTTCTAGACGGAAAGATAAACAAGATAAAGGGGTGAATGTAAAGAGATTATAAAAATATTTAGTAAATAACTGCGAGATTTTTATAGTTTTTTTATTAAATATTTGCACAATATAACAGTAGTATAAATACATCAATACTCAAATTCATCCTATGCATGTGACAGATCTATAGAACTATATTCCACTATTATAAAAAAATCTTTTATATACAGGGTGTTTCATTTCCGGTGTGCCAAACGAACACAGATGATCGGGAAAGTAATTTTGAGCAAAAAAGTTTATATCGATTTGTGTCCGAAAACGCCCCCCTGTGGCGCTACGTCCCTTTAAATGGGGCCATTAAGACACAATTTTATTACAATATCTCGAAAATGCTTCGAAATAAATTGATAAAATTGTATACAGAGGTATACTTTCTCTATCATTTGTGTTCATTTGACACACCGGAAATGAAACACCCTGTATTTAATAATATAATTAATATGTATAATAATCTAGTGGTTACAAAGTACACCTTATTATTTGCTTACAAAAATAGTACATTTAAAGATTTTTAAAAATTATATTGCTACAAAAAGGGCAGGTACATATTTATTAATTGCAAATTATTAAGTGAAGGTAATAATTTTTTATGATGTAAAATGGAAATCATTCTAGAAAAAAAAGAGATGATGTATTTTTTTTACATGAAAACTTGATTCTGTAGGTCTGGACCTCAATATTGAAATGGGAGCAAAATGTATAAGATTTGGACAAAATAAATATAAAAAATAAACCGAAACCCGTGATAATATGATATTTTATCTAACAGCGACCCAAGATTATCACTTAAAAATTTTATGATCTCATGGGTACAGGGTTTAGAATAATATACGTATTAAATAAATAATTATAATATTAATTATTTTTATATCTAAATATGTGTATATAGTGCGGTTACTTGCAGTGTATTTGTTACTTTAAATATAATTTGCCACTTATTCACTTATAAAACAAGAAATACTTACAATTAGTACCTAAATATATTTCACCGACCCGCAGTTTTAGCTAACAGAGAGTAACAACTTATAACTACATTAAGATATAAATATAAATATATACTTAATATCTAATATATAAATCTAGGAATACTGTTGGACCCAAATTTCAAAAACCATTGACCATTATGGAATCAGATATGCCCCAAAGAGTATAGAGTGACATGCAGAGTGGCCCAACATATACAGAATGAGCACTCTTAATGTAAGGATTTAGGCAGAATTAGTATATCAAACAGGTGTTTTCAGAACAATAGCTTAATGTTTTCTTCTTAAACTGAACTGAGGTACCACCTCTTCCAATATATTGATTAATTTTGAAAACTGTCCTGAATACTTTAAGGATTAACATAAAAAATCAACAATTTGGATCGAATTGGTCAACAACTATAGTACCTACTGTTGAAAAAGCTACAAAATAACGTACCAGTCAACCCTTTTCCTAAAACGATTAAGGGAGGAGTAGCCTTCTTGTTTAAGGAAATAAATGACATGTCACTAATGCCCGTTATTCTGACTAGTCGATCCTTGGGCACCATCAAACACAAAGCTGACTAACTGTAATGTTTGCTACGTGAGCAGATGATTGTTATAGAGATATTACCAGTATATACTCCTTGTTGGGCCAACCTGTATATAAATGTATACAATACAAGATTTCCAAAGGACCAATGGCGAAACAAAACTAAGGCACTCCTTATAAATATTTAATCCTAAATAATACTCAACACTTTATCACAATTCTGAATCACTTAACCTTCACAATACTTATATATGTCCATCCATATAACTGACCTCACTGTACATGGGCAGCCCGTTGACATTGCCTCCGTAACCGTTTGCAATAGGTGGCGCTTTCAAATGTCCGTTGGCCAAGTGATTGACACCGTTTGCAATGGTGTAAGCTACGCCGTTGCCCACTTGCTTGCTGATGGTCTCGATGGGCTCGTTTTCTAAGTCCTGGATGCGAGTGTCAGTGGATACGTTGCCGTTGGGTATGTGTCCGTTTGCGTGGCCATTCGATATGGCGTTTCCGTTGGGTATGTGGTTATTAGGGACGTAGCCGTTACTGGTGTGGCCTACTTGTTGTTCATTTGCTTGAGATTTCATATACTCGATGTGTTCCTTGACGACGTTCTTGAAGTCTTCTTGAACGGGGACTGTGTCTGTGTCTCCATCGACCTGAAAAGGATTTAAGTTTAGCTTGTTTCAGTTATACACAGCGATGGTTTTGTTTTTTACATAATTCATAAAAGAAAAACACAAAAATATATTCATAGATATTAAACACTGTTTTATAAAATATTTTTTATTTATTTATTTATTTATTTATTTATTTATTTATTTAAAATAAATAAATAATGGGTAGTGCCCAATAACAGAAGTATATAATTCAAATATAATAAAGAAAGTAATAAAAAATAGTTTGTGAAATTTTGCGTTTAATGAATAAAAAATAAATAACTGTAAGGCTGTACTTTCGGAATGTACTCAACAAAATAGCGATATTTATGGACAAAGGTTAGTTAAATTTGGCACAGTCAGTAATATTTTTCTCGAAAACGGTCAAATTTTGCATTATAATAAGCAATATATAATACAGAATACATAACCTAAAAAATACTCTGTTATAGCTTTTACATTGACAATTTATTGATCAATTAGTTCATGAAGTCGCTTCATCAAGAAATTAGACAAGTGTAATGCACCAAATCTGCTGTCAAATAACTTCATGAATTTATTCATCAAGTTCTTGACTAATTAGAGCATGTTCTAATTTTCGTCAATTTCTTTGTGAAGTTCGGAAGTACCAACGCAACAGATTTCTAGCCTCAGATCAGTAAGGAGGTTATGTTATTGGAATATGTAAATAATTGTGTGGCGTCATGCTAGTTTTGCATTGTTTTTACTGATTTGTTACTTACAAAAACTAATATTTATATAATATGTGTCAGAACGGTATCGCTGTTGTATCACTACAATTATGAGTGGAATTTTTGAAATGTATTTGCTTCTTTGAGTAGAACTGATTCATACGTCTAAAAACTTGACAAAGTCTGTAGCAGTGTAAAATCACACTGTTTACCAATAAATTCGTGAATTAATTCATGAAGAACTTCGTCAATTTATTAATCAATAAATTGTCAATGTAAAACAGCTATTACTGAGAAACATCGTAGCTAGCTTTACAAGATTATCGAAATAACAATTACATTTTTAGTATTTTCAAAAATATTTGCTTTACCAAATTTCAAGGGTAGAAACGTAACAGATATGACCAAAATCTAATAGGAGAAATACCATATTTTTTATGTTCTACCATTAATTTAATGTTCAACATTATTGAGGTTAATTAATGGCACTTCTTTTTTAAAAACACCCTCACGAATGGCATTTGATGTATGAATCACTCGAATTAGAGTTTGAACGTAAAAACATTATTAGTAGACATTTTATTGCACTTCACTTTATGACGGGGAAGGGTATGTAGAATGATAATATCAAAAAAGTAACTCGAAAGAAATTACGTTAAGGTTGGCAAATTGCAAATAAGTGACAAATTTACGTATCTTTTCAATTTTTGATCTTCCCACGAAAATCTAGACGACCCATTGGAAAATTAGTTATTTTATGTTGTAGGCAATTATATTACCTACAATTTAAGGTATCTAAAGTCATTTTCACTTATTTGTTAACTGTAAAATAAAGGTCGAACACGGAAAAATCAGTTTTCGAAAATTGCGCATTATTATTGCGAAAAGCGGTGGATGTTGACGAAATTTATGAAATTAACGGTCAATCCAATTACTAAACGTTAACTTTTGAAGTTAATATAGCAAATATAGGTTCTAATTATTGATCCAAAGAAATGTACCGAAAATGAAAAATTTCAAAAAGTTGAAATTAAGTAGCCCTTTACAACTAACGTGCAAAACAGCATTATAAACAAATTGAGGAAAAAGAATTTTGCATTAAATAGAGCTTATTTTTACGGTAAATTAAAAAAAAAGAGAAATCGTAGGTGATTTATCTTTTTTGTTAATAAGCTCTATTTAATGCAAAAAGAGCAAATTCCCGAGCGGCTTTTGCCTAACCCTGGGACAATTTGTTTATAACGCTGTTTTCCATGCCCTCCTTTGTTAGTCGTAAAGAGCAACTTAATTTAAATTTTTTAAAATTTTTCTTTTTCGATGCGTTTCATTGGACCTATATCTTCGATATTAACTTCTAAAATTAACGTTTAGTAATTAAACAATTACTTGTAAAAAAAAACAAACGAAATTAATTAACAAATACCAACCATTTCACGGTCAATTGAATCTATTGCTTTTTGCAATAATATTGCGCAATATTCGAAAACTGAAATTCCCGCGTTCGACCTTTACTTTACAGTTAACAAATTAGTAAAATATGACTTTTGATACCTTAAATTGTGGGTAATTTAATCGCCTATAACATAAAATGACTAATTTTCTGATAGGTTTTCTACTAAAAAAGTGAAAAACACGTAAATTTGCCATTTATTTGCAATTTGCCAATTTAGCATTATTTCTTTTGAGTTACTTTTTCATTCTATTCTCTTCCGCCATAAAGTGCAATAAAACGTCTACTAATATTTTTTTCACGTTTCCAGGTTTTATGATCTAATTCGACTGGAGTACATAGATGGATAATGTTTTAAATGTTTTCAATGTTTATGTTTTAAAAAATCAAAAAAAAAAATTACAGTTACGAATTTGCCATTTATTTGCAATTTGCCAATTTAGCATCATTTCTTTTGAGTTACTTTTTTCATTCTACACTCTTCCGCCATAAAGTGCAATAAAACGTCTACTAATAATTTTATCACGTTTCCAGGTTTAATGATCTAATTCGACTGGAGTACCTACATAGATGGATAATGTTTTAAATGTTTTCAATGTTTATGTTTTAAAAAATCAAAAAAAAAAAATTGCAGTTACGAATTTGCCATTTATTTTTCTAATATACGTATATTCGAGATAATCTTCGAATGTCGAATGTCGAACTGCGAATCAGATAATCCAGGAAAGGTAATAAATGTGAAAAAATATTAAAACTTTTTTTTTAAAGATAATTCAAACGAATTCAAAACAATTTTTCAGAATTTAGATACAATTTTCTTATATTAATATTTACTAATTAAATACCAAAGAAGGCTATTTAATTAAACCTAAAATCCCAAGTAAAATGTGGAAACAATAAGATTTCTTGGTAGCAGCTATTGTTGAAAGTGATAAAAAAGTATATAAAATACTTCTTTGAATGATTGCATTATTTAAGAATTTCAATCAAGCAAATATTTTTTTGTATGAATTTATTAATTTTTTGCAACTTACTATAGTCAGCCTTCCAATATTATCCATGGCTTTCAGCATTGGTAGAGAAGCTTGCCTAAAAATCTCCAATCTTCTTCTAAACGCTGTTACACTATCGTCCAGTCTTCCCCTTCCCAGCTGCAGTTTAGAGCAGTCCAATAAAATAATTGTAGGTTTTTGTTTAAACTGAAAAAAAAGAATGTATTATATGTACTTATTTTGAAGTCAAATAAATAACAAACGATAATAAACCGAAGAGAAATGACTTGTTTCATTTAGTCATAGCATAAGGTTTGTTTTAGTTCAAACATAGAACGGTTCTAGGATGGCTCAAATTTGGCGACCATTCGGAAAAAGCGTTCTAAAAAGGGTCACTCTATTGTGTACAAAATAATTTACAACTGAATATAGATCTGATCTGTCATGACATGACAAACATAACAGGTATCCTTGAGTATACTATTTACAAACTGGTATGTGTAGCTTTCCAGTACGCTTTATTGATATTTTCTATTTTATATTTTTTCAAACCCTATACCACCGCTTAATGAGAGTTTGTCATCATCAATAATGTCTCCAAAATGCCCATGAACTGGTAAATATTTTATTGGATTCCTCTACTAATTATACCTTCCCTAAGTAAAACTTACGCGTTGTAATTATGACGTCGCGAAAGTTCGATTTTCAATTAATATCAATTAACAACTTATTAGGCTACCCACAAATATTGATCTTGGCGCATATCATAAGTGGCATAGTTAATACCTTAAACCGATAATCGATAATGTTTTCATAGTACGTTTATCAAAATAAATTGAATTAGTATAAAAGTAATTAAGATAAGTAATATTACTGATTTTGTTATTAAAATAGTCTGGTAAAAAATTATTAATAAGACTTTTATACGTTAAATTTTCAATTTAAACCTATCCCTCGATATACATGCATATATTATAATTATTTTATATTATATATTATAAAATATTCAAAGAAAAATCTGAGCGGATGTAAAATAGATAATAGTAACAGGTTATGGGGTTATGGAGTTATGAAGTTACGGGGTTGTTATGGGTTTATTGATATCATGATCGTCAGAGAAAAAAGCCCTATATTGCAGGGGTATCCTTCGGTTCGGATGAACCGCTACCGAGAGCTCGGAGACGAAGCAACGGCAGCTGAATATGATTAGAATCTTAAACAGAGAGAAAGAGGAGTACCATATCTATACCCTGAAAGAATAAAGGCTGCTGAGAATAGCTATTAAAGGTACCTTGAGCGGTGTACTCATTACCGACTTTAAAGAGGACCTAACTGCAAAAGGCTTCGCCCTCGTCTCGGTACAAATGAAGACCAGCTATCGTACAAGGCAATATACAGGGTGTATCTTAAGTGATGACTTTAATTTCAAAGGGTGATTCCTTGTCATATTTTAAGCAAAAAAGTGCATATGAACATCGGTCCGCAAGTGCTTCGTTACCGAGATACAGGTTGTCAAAGTTGGGAAAATAAATCGCATTTTCTTAAATATCTTTCGACTGATTCGAAATAATTTAATGAAATTTCATACACGGGGGTTTTTTGGAATGACAAATTCAAAGCTGTGGTCAATTTAGGTGTATTTTTTTGAGGGCGCCA